GGACATATGTGCTTTTCTGGAGTGTGGTCCCAAAATTAGCAAACTCTTGACCTGAAAGTATAATCAGAAAATCATTCATTGTCTTGTCTGTTTTGTTTGTGGGTGAATTTCTCTCTTTTCCTCTCCATTTCCTCTCTCTCTCTCTCTCTCTCTTTTATCAAGGTGATAGAAGAACTGCAGACTGCACCAATGAATAACGATGAAAAAGAGTTGCTGCTGCTGCTCTCGAGTCCTCATCTTAGGGTAAAAGGCTCCCTCGTCTGTAGCTCAAGGAAGGGCCGCTGGTGCAAGCATTCATGTCCTCTGGGTATTGGGAGTGGGAACTGTGATTGTTATTGGTTCTAGATGTTTGCCATCACTTAACGTGTAACAGGCTAAAACTGATTTTTGTGGCACAACTTCACAGACTTCTTTCTTTCCCCTCTGCATGCTGTAAGTATGGGACCGCCATGCTTGCTCAGTCAGTCAGAATGGGTAAAGAGTAAAGTGTTTACAGAATTCAGCCATAAAGAAGTCAAGGGTTTGATTGGAATTAATACCTGGCATGTGGCGTGGGCACGGAAGGACTAGTTGAGAATGGTAATTAGGCCCATGGCCCTTTTCGTTAGGAATATCAGATCTGGCCTGCAAAAGTCACAGTGACCACAGGAAGGCAGCAAAGAGGCACTGAAACATCCAGGTTTTTGCAGCCCAGATTTGCTAACCTTCTGTCAGGTAGACCAAACTTGGAAACCAAAGACACGCAAGCTAATGCTACTTTTATCATAAGGTAATAGTAACAGAATCTCGCAAGTCTGAATTCACATCCCCCTCCCTCCCTTTTTCTTCATGAGAACTAGGGAGGTTCATGTCTAAGACACTCAAATTACATTTCTGCCCCGGACTCAGGTTTCTTTTATCTGACTGTTGTCTTGGTTGCAGCTCTTCCTCCTGTTCCTCAAGATTATTCCTTATGCCCATTACATGTTCCCATTTTGTACTGGAGGAACTGTTTCTGGAGTGAAGGAGGTGCCATCACCCTACTCCCAAAAGACTTCCATCTCTCGCTGCATCTTCTAAGAGCCTGAAATTTGCCCAGAACCTTCCTGAGGAAAATGGAGGGTACATACATAGAGAAGAGGTGGTTGATCTTGTTTGGTCCAGGTGTCCCTCCTGTCCCTATGTGGGGACTGGAGAAATTATATCATGGGGGGGCTACTTCTTTTTTCAATTTGGGGGGCTGGGGAGGTACTTAAAGGGAGAAATTGCCTTCTTATACTTTGAAGCTTAAGTTGTGAGGATTCAAGTGGGAGCCGGTGATTCTTGGCCCAGAGGAGGCAGTCGTGTTAATGTGTAACAGTTGCTCAGGATCAAGGCTATGAATTGTCATGCCAGGAGTCCATTAATTTGTGGTAAGGGTGGGAGAAAGAAACTATGTGTTTTAACCACTGCAGATACCAGATTATCTGCACCTTTTTGCTGGCAGCGGCAAATCAACCGGTTTGTATAGCTTCATTCTTAGCTGCAATAAAGATTCTTAACTTGCTGAGCCCTCTCTGTGAGGTTTGCCCAGTCTAGTATAAGTGGACCTAAATAGTGAAGTGTCAGGAGATCTGTGATTTACAGCCAAACCCCAGTCAGGGACTGTCTAAAAGTAACCCATTTTGCATGTTAACACCCCCACCTTAGGAACATTTGGCTTAATTTGAAGGGGTTCAGGGTTTTTAAGGAATGCTAGGGTGCTTTATGCTTTTGTAAGATGCAAGGTATCAGTTTTACCTCCAAAACATCTTCCCAACCCCCCAAAATAAAAATGGGTCTGAAATGTTCAAGTCTACTCACTTTTGGGACCTGCAAATATTGGGGGGGGGCTGCACCAGTAGGTTCAGGTTGCCCACCCTTTTCCCAAAGGATCCACTGACACATGCTGGCTGGAAAATTTTGGGAGCTGAAGTCCATACCTGTTAAAGTTGCTGAGGTTCTAGCTTCCCTGTGGGTTGCCTGAAATGGCTGCTTTGCTCTGTCTAATAGTAGGGCTGGCCATAGGAAGACAGGAGTGGAGAGCAACTTGTGACTTAGGGCCTATGGGCCCGAGGAGCTTTGTATTGGGAAAATACAATTGGCACAGCCTGATGGAAGAAAGACGCAGAGTTGTCGTCAGGCAAACCTTCAGGAGGATGCTCCAGAGCGGAGCCAGGCCTGTCGCCATAAAAGGAATCTTCTCAGCCATCCAGCCATGGGAAGTACTGCACCACGGCTCTGAGGGACAGAGAGTCATGCCCTGGGAGTTTTCTCAGTGGTTGCCCCCAGATACCAGCATCCATGGGGGTGGAGGTGTAAAAAAAAAAAAAAAAAAAGGCAAAATGGTGGCTGTAGTACAAGACCCTCCCCTTTTAATGGCACTTGACAATGCGTATAAAAGAGGCAGGATTGCATTGCGACACTGCATCTGCTGTTTTACCTTTTTAACATCCCCCCTCCCTCCCCCCGACATGGCTGCTCCCATATGTTGGAGGTCTGCCCTGCAGATCAGTTTATCTGCGTTCCTGCTGATTCTCTAGCGGTGAGCAAGACAGTATTTAGCAATTTATGGCCGCATGCTCAGGCAATATGTTGCCACTCATTTTAAAACCATTCTGCAAGGTTTTTTTTTTTAATGCTTTTTAATGCTTCTTAAGGTTAATTGGTAATTCTATCCCAAATTCTGCAATATAGTTATCCTCTAGGGTTTTTATTCTGTATCTTTGATATCTTGCATGGTAGAAAAGTAGAATAGAGAAAAAGCTTTTAATAATTTACCCCTAATTCAGAAGATGAATAAGGAGAGGATGGGTGATGGACATGAAAGCCATTTTTCTGAGCATAAAAGGCACTCTGCACGTGCTCAGAAGATACTTCATTTTATTACTTAGTGTTTGTGGAACTGAAAGCTGTTAAGCTTTGATTTCATCCTTAGCTCGCCTGCAGTTTTACTCACCTTCCCTGTAGCCTTGTTGCTGTTCATTTAAATGCTTTGCTTCTTGGTTCAGATTCTCAGTATATAACAGAAATGGTTGCTTCCTTTTGTTATAATATCAGAACTTTATTCTCCCACTCTGGAAGGGGACTTTTTACTTTCTTTCTCATTAGATTTGAATATGCAGATAAAAATCAGGGTTTTAATGAGAGTGTTTTAATAACTTGTACTGACTGTTTTAAGATATTGAAGACAAAGATTTTCAAAGGCATTCAAATTGCAGAGGTCTATTATAGATTCAGAATCAACTAGTTTAAAGGAAAGATTGTGTACAAAAGAATTAGAAATTAAAAGAAATTCCGTTTAATGCATCCAGTGAAGACTTCTTCTCCAGTTGGCTGGGAATGGGAGGGATGGGAGCGGGTGGCAGATATATGTGATTACGCAGTTGTATTGATCTAAAATATAAAAGTATATATTTACATAAGATCCACACACTGCAAGAATGGGCATTTGGGGGCTCATGAGCCACAGGCAGCCTCATGGCATCCTTGGAGAGGGCAGGGCCAAATCCTTTGGCCCTTTTCTTTGGCTTTTAGTGGCTTTTTAAGAGAAAGGAGGCATTCAAGCCAGCAAGTGGGAAACAGAACATCTGGGCACAGGGAACTATTTTAGGTGACAACAGTAGAAAAAACCTGCTACCAAACTGCTAAAACATAAAAGTGGGAGAAGGAAAACCACGGTTTAAAACCTTGGAACATACCTATAGAGAAAGCTAGTCCTTAGATTCTGTGAGAGCTGATCTTCATCTTGATTAGGGATCATTGTACTGTATTTGTAATAAACTTTACTTAGCTATCTAAGCCTGGTCTTACTTTAATCCTCCTGGGTGTGCTTTTCTCCCCTCCCTGAGATAGAAAGGAGTGTGACTTCTGAAAATATTCTGCCCATATAGTGGTCTGTTTATTGCACCTCTGCCATGAGGCTGGAGGAGCTACTGTAACACGTGTGACTTTCTATGCAGTGAATGAACCTTTGGAGCTGGGGAAAAGCCGTGCTTTGCAGCAGAAGAGGATTTTGCAAGCTGCTTTGAAGCAGGCAAGGAGATCCAAAGTTCTGAGCTGGGGAGAAAGCAGAAAGCAGCGTCTTGTTGCAAGCCCTATCTGGGGAGCCCCTCCCACTGCCTTTCCTTAGCACACTTCTCAGCTATGTGGCCAAAGACTGTCCAGTGCTTTTGGCTGGGTCTGTTCTTCAGCTGAGGCTGCAGCACTGAGAATATTTACCTTCTCCCTCTCTTCCCCATCATTCCTTTTTCTGCAGCTCTTTCCAGCAGCTAGTCTGTTTGGTGCATTGCCTCTGCCTTTTGGGGATCACCATCCTCTTTTTCCTGATCCCTTTCTTTCCAAATGTCTATTGTCAGCAAGCAATACTTACCGGAATGAAGCCCTGCGAAAACACACGGGATTTAACGTGGGCGAAAGCATTCAGGTGTGCTGACCGAGTTCTGTGCAGACTCAACCATCCATGACAGAGACCCTCCCTTCTCCTCCTAGGCTTTCCTTCCTCTCTGTCTTCGATCTCCCATGGGACTCCTTCAGAGCCCTTTGATATCAGCTCCTGATAGATGTGCAGTTGATCTTTCATGAGGTCAGGTATTCCTCTGGGCACACCTAAGAAAATTACAAGAAAAGAAATGAAAAAGAACAGGCTGGGGCGGTGAGATTTGGTCCTCTCTAGCAGCCCAAACAGAAATGGCCATGGAAGAGAAGAACCCTGCAGCCAGGTGGGAGGGGACCGTCTTGCTCCAGGCCAGTTAGAGTTGGCCAATCCTCCAAAGATTTCTCCATGCAATATTGAATGTCTGCATGGGAAGTTTGCTTCCATCTTCCTGTGGAAACACTGCTTCCTTCCTGGATCACCCTGATCCAGCTTCAATCTGCTTCAGCCACAGATTGGCAAGGTGCAGCAAAGGTCTTCAACAGTTGGTAAGTGGACCATCTTAGAGAGAGGGCAAGGAGGATGTGTGGATGAACCTCCAAAGAGAGATTTATTGCAACAGCTTGGGTGAAACCTGATGGGTGAAAAACCTTGCTGAGATTTAAGGTATCCATTTTATATCCATGCATCCCCAAACCAGCCTTTTTTAAAAAATGTAGATGGATTTGAAATGTATGCCTTAATTAATTAATGTCTCTTGAGAATTCCACCAAACAGGCTGAGCATTTGCCTCTACCTTTTCCCATGATGTTGTAAGGTCACAAATCAAACCCCCTGCAGCCCCTGAAAGGTCAAAAAACAAAGTTTGGCCCTGGCTGCAAGAACGTTTCCCTCTCTTGAAACAGTGTGCAAATTGTATTTCGAGTTTGCTGGCAAATACATGGTAACTGGATTTCCACAATACATTAAAATGGGGCTGGGTAGTTTTTGGTTAGCATCTTATAGCAAACCAGCCATTATCTTAGTGTGTTGTGCAAACTAAGCCATCACATTAACATGCTTATTTGTTTAGGCATTGTATCTTAAGTGAATACAGCAATTATATTTTGTTACCCTGGATTTAAGGTTAGTGTGATGTGCCAGCCCAGCTGCTGAAATCCTGGGGAAGGAAGAGGAGAACAGAGCTATCCGAGGGCTACTTTGGAAAAGCAGAGGCCAGGGAGTGGTTGAAATCTCCTCTCTCCAACCATTTCTTTCCTTTGTATCATATCCACTGGAAGTGAGTTTTTCTATTCAGAAATGGCCAGTGAGCTACCATGACAGGCCGCTGAGCAGAAGATGGAATGGATGAAAGTAAACAATGTGGTATTTGTTCAAGACACCCTCAGTTATTACCTTTTTAAAAATCACCGACTCTTTCTCTGGGGACCAGGATCAGAGTAGAACGTGCATGCTTGCTTGGCGTGCAGAGGTTCATATATTTACTCCCTAATATCTCCAGTTTAAAATAATTAGGCCTCTGCCTAAAATTCTGGAGAGCCACTTTTCCTTAAAGACAACCCTGTATTCAGCTCTCCTGTCTCCTCTCCACCAGCATTGTCAACATTTAGATTGTAAAGTTTTTGGAACAACTTTTCAATGAACCCTGAACCTTGACTAAGCGGAAGTGCACGCAGGATCGTGCGATGCTGCAGTTTGCTTTATCTTTGAGTTTCTGTTCCTATTAATGTCACCTAAAATACTATTGAGTTTTGGTACTGAAGCATTTATTTGCCAACAGAGATTCAATTATTTATTCATTGTTAACATACCCTCTTGCATTTTTTAATGGTCTGCATCTGCATGGTTGCTGCCTAGCCTGTCTCCTTGTTCCAGTCATCACTATATATTTATTTGTTCTGAAATTGGCTTGTTCTCTTGACATATAGAAAAAGCTTCTTCCGTGAGCTTCATTGCAGCTTTGTGGCTGATGGCCAGCTTGGATCCATTGTATAAATATGTATTTAATGCTACTGGGCAAACACAGAGATTGTGTTCGTTTTAGATTTATCTTGGATCTAATAAAACATGCAAGAAGAACAAGAGGGAAAAACAATATTAGAGGGATGAAGAGGAGGATTGGAATCCAAAGAAAGCAGAGTTTTCTCTTGCACTCATATATGCGTCATGTGTATGAGAAAGTTATCTCTCCAAGTATATTGTAGAGAAATGATTTTTTGTATGATCACAGATATCTGCATTGTTTTTGGTTGCTAATGGTTGTGGGGGATTAGAATGGTTGGATTGGAAAAGGTTTGGGTTCTAGTGTTTCTGCATGAAAGCAACAATATCAGAACAAGCTCCTTATTGTCCATCTGGACTAGCATTCTATTCTCACAGAGGCCAGCCAGATAAAAAAAAGATGTTCATATGTGGGTCTGTTATACCAGTTGTGGCAAATCCTGCTGGAATAAGAATATTGGGCTACATTCAGAAATGGAATGGTGTGTGTGTGTTTGTGTGACACCTTGGACCAGTGTCACACCTTGGACCAGTGTTACACAAAGCTGGCTGTGGGATTTAAGAAGTCCACACATCTTAAAGTTGCTAAGGTTGAAAAACACTGCCTTGGACCAACCACTAGGACACTTGTAATACGTAGTATTTACTCTTGCACAGAGAGCTGGACCATAAAGAAAGGTGAGCGCTGAAGAATTGATGCCTTTGAACTGTGGTGCTGGAGAAGACATTTAAGAGTCCCCTGGACTGCTAGGAAGTCAATCTTAAAGGAAATCAACCCTGACTGCTCATTGGAAGGATTGATAACGAAGCTCAAGCTCAGATACTTTG